GTTCCCGCATATAAAAGCTACCTTCAAGTTTTGTACCCCAAAAAATCTTTTCAAGATTACTTAATATACTGCTACTAGAAAACATTCAATATTCTCTGGTGGACTAAGTTGAGTATATCGATCTTACCACGCTCAAATTTGATGTTCGATTTTCATCCTTGGAGAGAGCGCAGGTAGACCACTCTTTAGCTTTGAGCCTGTTTTTTTTTATACTTCTATTGCTATAAAGCAATAAAAATGGCGCACATATCGTTCAGTCGTATCAGTTACCATAAATTGAACTACAAAATCTCGCTAGTCGTTCCATCCACAGCTATTGCTATTAGCAACATATACTTAGCCAAACAGAGGTAAACCTCTCGTGTTGTTAGAGCAGACTAAAATTATGACTAAATTTCCGTTACTAGTAGCTATTATTTGCAGTTTTAGGTGGAGCAGAAAACATATACAGGTTTTTAATATGTATCAGAAGAGAAATACATTCCCTAATGATTTCAGCCACTTGCTACATTCAAAAATAAGTGCTATCAAAGTCAGAATGTATTCATATTATCATGCTTCTATTTTTATTAATTCGCTGGTTAGAGCGCTCGACTCGCAATCGGAGGGTCGCGGGTTCGAATCCCCGTCCCACTAAACATGCTCTCCCTTTCAACCATTGGGGCGTTATAATGTGAAGGTTAATCTCACTATTTGTTGGTAAAAGATTAGCCCAAGAGTTGGCGGTGGGTGGTGATGACTAACTGCCTTCCTTCTAGTCTTGCACTGCTAAATTAGGGACGGCTAGCGCAGATAGCCTTCGTTTAGCTTTGCGCGATATTCAAAACAAACACACAAACAAAAATTAATTCGCTGATGACGAGTAGGGGAAGTTTTAATTGATAAATGCAGTACTTACAAATTTTTATTTGTAATAATATATCTGGCAGAATATTGTTTGTATCTATAATAAAAGCAGGTTTACTCCTGTGATTAAACTGGTTTCACATTTCACCTGAAACCATGACATGCTATTTGTTTAACTTGAAACCTAGAGAAAAGAAAACCAAACATTCAGAGAGTGGGACACAAACCTTTATCTGTACGTTATAGACTCATTCCAAATGTGGAATACCTAAATGTTGTACTATTAGTGGGTGTGTATATTTTTTCTTTGTATTATTCCAACATGCACATGAAGTAGACGCAATTTAAAACAGAACAATTAACTTTTGGATTATTTTATTACATAAATGTGTGTGAGTGAGCGTTATTGCCATCATACTTTGCAGACATCTTACTTGAAGACTTGTCGAAGCTAATACTCATAAATATAATGAATTACATGTTGTGAAGAAGATGCCATTTGTAGAGATTCTAATTATTGGACACTTTTCTAGAGTCTATAGCTAAAAACAGCGATACTTTTTGTAAAGTATATTTCATTCATTTCGATATTCTACATTTTATCAATACTATTTCATTACCATGGTATGGAAGAAACCAATAAATACGCAATAACATTATATTTTGGTTAATAGCGACGGCTATTATTATGTTTCAAAGCGTCATATATCATCGTTACAAAGTTTGCTTTCACAACCAAATGTCAAATCCCTTTGAAACGTCGGATACACAGTGCACACCAAAGTAAACACACACGGTAGATCTCTTCCTACGGCTGTGTTAGTTATGTTTGCTAGCAATGGAACGTTCAAACAAACTACTAATTTTCTTAACGTTAGAATGGCTTAGTATATAACATTCACAGTCAACATTTATGTACTTGGAATCCGATACTATTGAACCAAAAAAAAAACAACTAACTCCTCACTGTGGGACGTTTAGATTTTAAAATCAATATCTTAAATCTATAGACAGAGCATGTCCAGAAAAAGAGAAAGAGAGGGAGCTGTTTTTAATAATAACTTTCTTGCTTCCAGTAAACATCAATAACATGAGATTGGAACACAAATTGTCTGCTTAATTCTTGACTTCATAATATAAATTCTAAATATATATAAATAAATTTTGTCATTTTATCGAAATTTGTTTTTTGAATGCCGCTATTTCTTCCGAATTGAAACTATTTATAAAATTTAAAGCGACACGAATAAGTGAGCCACTTGACAAAAATATACTCAAGTGTTTATATAAACAAATTAGTTTATTTACATCACACCTCTAAAACTTTTATTTCTATTTTTTAATACGGTTTTATTCAAAAGTATGCTATCTACATTATATCTACGAAACGTACATCTAAGCAAGATTAAATAAAATTCATCCTCAAAAACTTTCACTTAAAGAACCGATATTTTTTAATTACGTGATACTTATAGGACTCGAAAAAATATATTTGGCTTTCTAGCAATTTGTTGTTTTCCTCATTCATTTTAATATATATGATATATAACATTTTTTACATTTTACTTTGGTTTCCATTTCAGTTATTAGGGAGAATTAAGTATGAGAGCCAAAAAGTCAGAGGATAAACAAGAGCAAAAAAATACCATAAAAATACTGCACTTGTTGAAGCCACTTGAAATAAGTTATTTCGCTGTATTAACGATTTTCATAAATATATTTCTTTACATTATTTTTGCATCACTAATTTTATCCTTACACAATTAATTGGTCCTTTATATGAGTCAAAGATAATCCAATTCTATGTAAAACTTTCTATCATGCACATGACTAGCCAGATTATGCATGTATGGAAACTTTGTATTATAGAACTTTAAGTGTTGAATGTTCTCAATACACTGACTTCCTACAATTAGCCGCTCTAATTAGACGTTATGCAGAAAATGTACAACGGAGTCAAACTGAACTTCTAACCTGAATGATTTAAACAGACTGGACACAGAAAAACAAACAAAAAAGACTTGGTTTTGTGTTGCGTAACACGAATGTACTACACTTCACAGGCAGGACGAGAGTAGAAGACGAAAAAGAACACCATTGCCTTACTGTTGATAGCTCTATTACAGCTAGAGGTGTGAAAAGAGATTTGAGAGAATCGGACTAGACTGATAAAATTGATCACCATATACAGTAGAATATGTTCAGCTGTCATAGAATGTAATTGCTATCCACTGCACTTCGTTATTCTATGAGTAAAAATAGTAAACCCATTCTTAACCGACGCTGTTGGTGCGAAGTTATTCCTAAGCCCATTCTTAACTGATGCTGCTGACGCAAGATATCGCATTGGTATACATTTGAGAAATCAAGGGAAGTTTAAAAAACCAGGGGAGGGGGCAGACCTTTGACAATTTTTGGCCAAAAACGGTTATCTGCATGTTAATGTTCACCTTACTGAACCAAGAGGGAATGTCTGGTATATTTAACATACAGAAGGTGTATTACTCTCTGAATACACGTTTCAAAAATTGACACCTTGGTATATAATCAAATAGTACCTAAAACAGTTGAATAAGTTTCGTTCAAATCAAATACAATTTTCCTTGATGTCCTTACTTAATTCTTTCTTTGTTGTATTTCAAATATACCTCTTGCTATAAATTAATTAAAAAATATGGATGAATACAATATATATCTATATTAAGGTAATGAATTTGAACACTATGACGTTCTTA